AGCTATCTGCCTGGCTAAGCATCTGCTCCATTATGTTGTTGCACAGGAACAATTTCACAGCCCTTAATGTAAGTTGTTTATCATTTAGCTTGGACATAGGCCTGGCCTAATTGCAGAACTCAGTTTCAGCCCTTTGAATCCTGCTTAGCCTGAAGCAGACTCTGGTAATGGTTAGTTTTCAGTCCATTAGATTCAATTTCCCCACCTGAAAAATGGGTAAAACATGGAACAGACCCCAGACACCCCTGAGGTGTTCAGTGCAGTCACTGGATGGACACACAAACATAGATAACCAATAGAATAGCCACATTTCTAGAAAAACTCAGTTCCTTGAAAAGAAAATCAAGCACTGAAGCTGTTTTCCTTAGGCCATATCCATGGGGATGAAACCTCTCCAGTATCCCAGAGTGAGAGCATGGTGAAGCAGAGGTGAGCAAAACACTGAGGGAACAGCTCCCAGAGAAAATATCACAGTGGCAAGGCTCCCTTTGGCTCATTTCCCATCTAAACTGTGCTGGGGTTGAATCTGTGACAGGTTCTGTGTGTCATCTGTCAGCACACATGGCAGCTAACCAAGTGCTTCCAGCTTTGCTGTGCTTTTCTTGGACACCTGACTTTTCTGTCTTCTGCTGCCATGGTTAGACCAAGATCCCCATTTCCACTTAAAGGAAATTACCACTACTCTGAGCGGGAAAAAAAGGAGGCTCAGAAAAGCAGGCAAGTAAATGGTGTTCAAATCCTGGCCAAGGCCCAGTAAAAATTCCAGTGCCTTCAACAATGGAGATTTCAGTCTTTTTGAATTGTTTGGCTTCTTTTAATCTTAAGGGATTAAATGACTATTTTATGTAACAACCTTAGTGAAAGAGCCATAAAATAATTCAGAACAGCAATTAGCTACACCTGGTAAAAAAGCAGGACTAAAATCAAAAGCACAATATAGTAAGGACTCCTTCCCTGAAATGCAGCACTACTCATACACACTGCTCTCCACAAAAATGTAGAACTCATGTAACTTTCAGATGTAGCTGTCAAAGAAATATAAATTCAGTCCTAGTCTCTCAGTATAGCGTACCAAAGGAAATCTGCTTCTAGGAATTTACATAATGAACCTTGTGTTTCAATTAAAATCAATTTTTAATAACTGGCCTTGTTTCCAAAAGAATTTTAAGTCCAGACTTCAAACACTGTTTAAAATTCTTGTATTTGGTGGACATGAAATAACTTTACCAAAATGAGAAAAATACAATGCATGTAAGTAAACTGGAAAAAAAGTTTCAAAATTCATTTCTTGTCCAACATTTTCCTTCAGCTTTGTTATGCAGAGGAGAGTTTGCTTTCTTGCTCTTAGGACTTGCTACAGAGGAGGAATGAAAGTACTGGAGAAGGGAGAGAGTGGATTTCAGCACAAGTGCTGCCAGCCTGATTTGGGGTGGGAATTTTTTTCTTAAAAATACTGTCTCTGCTCTGTATTGTGTGTGTTTCACCCAGTGTAAAATTACAATGGTCAGAATAATTCGGAATTCCTTTTGCAATGGCGGCCAAGTACTATTGCTCACAGGACAGGTAAAGAAAGAAATGTCAAGGGATGTTTTTCCTAAAGCCTTTAATGAATTATTGTCTTGACTTACACAGACCTGTAAAATCTGAAGGCTGGGACATTTCATCTCCATGGAAAATGCTGATAGAGCAAAAGTGAAGTTAGGCAAAAATAAAACAGGTTTTAGTTTGGGGTTGGTTGGTTTGTTTGTTTTACCAGCGAATCTTTATGTACCGCTTGCTGTGCATTGAAGAGTTTGCAGCTACATCTCTCGAAGTGAAATGGACTTAAACGCTCCATGAATATTTTATCAGGCTTTTATTTATGCCATGTTTCATTTCTTCAGTTTTCCTAGATATGAGACTTTGAAGAGCCTACTGAATATCTGAGATAAAAGCATTCAAGTGAAAGCAGTTCTTGAGTACATCAGTTTTAAAGAAAAGATTTCCACCAAACTGTACAGTGTTACTGGCATTGAGGTAGAAAAACAACTGCTCTCTAAAGCCAAAAAGAGAGGAAATTAAATGTATGGCCGGATTGTTATCATCTGTAGTACACATCTAAGAACATCTAAAAGCTTCTCCAAAATTCTGAGTGCAGTTAATACCCCACCCCACACAACCTTCCTCTTTGGAAGACAAGTGCGGGATGCATCAGAAAGGTGAAGGGCCAGGTAGACACAAGGACACAGCCAATGCTGTGGGCAGCCAGCCTAAAGGGCAGCATTAACTGAGTGTCCCTGCACCTCAGTGCCTGTTCTGAGTCAGCCCAGCCCCAGGTAATGCAGCAGAAGCCCAGGTCCAGCACCCTTGGTGGGCCCCAGGTGAGTGCCTTGCAGCAGGGACATACAGAGCTGTTCCTCACAGCCTGCACGGCTCTTTGTGCCTCAGGGCATCCTTTGTAGAGGTTTAGTGCTCTGGCAGAGGTTCAGTTCCTGTGGCGTGGCAAGGGGCAGGGGAATTCTGCCTCTTGGAACAGCTCTGCAGCTGGGTTGGAGTCAGGCTGTGGCTCTCCAGTGTTTGGAGTGCTGCAGTTGGCAGCTGTCCCCTGGCAGACCTCGAGGCTGACACAGCTGCACGCTGGGTTCAGGTACAGCCTCACCAAAGCTGGGCACAGTAGATACCTATGATTGTAGTTTAGAAAACAGTGAAAGTGCAGTTTTTGTGATCTCAGGGGTGGGGTGAAGGAGCCCTAGGCTGTTCCACAGCAGATTTGTGGAAGAAGCCACAGGGGGCACAAGGAGGAGGTACCTGTTCAGTTTCCACAGGAGAGGAAAGGCCAGCTAAGTTCTGCTGCTCACCTCAGCACTCTCCATGTTCCATACTACACACACCGAGGTCACAATAAGGAACAGCTGAAGCTTTGTAGCATCCTGCCTGGATGCTACCAGTTTCTTCAATAAGCTTTTTCCCTGCCATGCAAACAGGAATTTATTTGGTGCCCAACCTGCTACCCCTCCTCACATGCCTCTGTCACCCAGCAACTTCAGAATGGTGGAGCAGCTACACACACTGCAGTCACTGGGAGACTTCAGGGAAAGAGCTTCCTCTGAAGCCCATTGCCATCTGCCAGAGAACCAAAATCATCTTTCTTTTTGTCCAAGCAGCTTCATAGCAGTGTTACTCTGCCAGTGCTGGACTGTTAGGGTAGGGGAACAAAAAAGATATTCAAATCTTTAAAGAAGCTGTCAGAATTATGGTGTTGTCAGCTCTTCTAGATAGCAACAGATAATTGAAATTTCATGTGTGTGTGTGTGTGTGTGTGTGTGCAAGCAGAGGTGTATCTGTGTATAACCAGTCCTCAGGTTAACATGAAAGAAAGAAGTTCCTATGGAGCTGTGTCTCCTCCTGCTCCAGTAAACACTGTGTGACAGCATCCAGCAGTGAGCTGTGGGACAGGAACTCTGAGCAGAACCTTCCCCACAGCCTGCAGCCTTGGGAAATGGCTTGTTTCCCATGTGTTAGGTGTATAAAGGAGTGTTTGAAATTTGGGGCTCAGCACGTGCACTGAAGTTCACGTCACAGTGTGTGAGAGCAGCTGTGCTGCAGGCCAAGGCTGCTGAGGGGCTGGGCAGCCCAGCTCAGTGATTCAGCTCCCAAACACACCCAGGTGCCCTCTGATGGCACCAGTGCCCTGCAGACACCACAGGGCTGCTACAGACTGGCAGCCCTTTCTAGAGAGTTCACCTGCTGCAGCATGCAATGAACTTCGGAAGCCATCTGGTAGATTTTACACCTTTTCTTGGGGAATTGAGATAATTTCAGTTTGCCATCATATGTGTGCATTAAACCAGTTATCTTTTAAATTTTTTTTTTGTTTTTTGCATTTCCAGAGAGCAGCAGTGTGTGTTGTATTAACTAGAAGATTCTTCTGCCAGTTCAGAGATGTTTCCAAATTGCAACTAAATCCAGCCTCTTGGCTGAATTTTTTATTTCTGCCTTATTCGTATTTGTGTTACACAGTGAGAATGAAGACAGACAATAATAACACACCTCTCTCACCTGATCAGTTTGTTTGATCTGGCAAAGGGAGAAGTCCTCAAACCTCTCCTAATAACCCCATTTGTAAATCTGTACCTTGCCCAAGGCTCTGGGCTTGGGCTGGATGGCAAAGGACAGGATCACTCTGCCACTAAACCCACAGAGAGCCCTTCAGAGAACTGGCTTCAGTGCTTTTACACAAATGATTCAGCAAAGGGGATGTTTAGAAGGTGAAGTGTGGAGGCTCTCCCGTTTTGAAGTGTTCCTACTGTTTCTCCATCCCAGCCATGGAGAGCTTCCCCAGTGCTCCTGGTTGCTGTCCCTGAGCAGTGACAGGGACACCCCTGCTGTGGCACTGCTGTGGCTGTGCTGGGTGCTGGGGAAGGGGATGGGGATGGGCTGTGTTTGCTCTGCATCCTGCCCTTGGGTGGCACTCCCCACAGTCACTGGGATTTCTCTGGGTTATCCCACTTTCAATACCCCATACAAATCTTGGCTGCTGAGAACAGGTTCAGCTGCTCTGACAGAGCCAGAGGCAGACACTCCAGAGAATCCCAGCACTGCTCCTGAGCACCCATGGGAGCCTGGAATGGGACAGGAGCAGCTGGAGGCCTCACCTAGTGCTGAAACAAAGGAAGCAAGTGGTCGCATTTTCACAGCTCTTCTTCAAGTTGGTTTCATTACCCATCAGTAGTAATTGCAATAGGACCCTGCAGACAAGCATTATGAATTCCTGTTACAGGAAAAAAACAATTAGCATTATCTTCCAAAGCATTTATCTGTTCCACCAGCATGAATTTCCATACATCACAATAAATCTGAGCAGCAAAGCATGAGCACAGTGATCAAACACACAAAAGGAAAATGTGGGAATTATGGTTTAGTCTCTGGTGGTCTTACTTTTTAACTAGTGTTTATTCCTGTGCCTACTGTGGTTAAAAGCACACTGACTTCTAAGCTGGTGTTTCTGTTTCCTGTTACAGCTGGACAGTGTCACTTCACTAATTCAGGCCGCCAAAAACTTAATGAATTCTGTGGTGCAGACAGTGAAGATGTCCTATATTGCATCCACAAAGATCATCAAGATTCAGAGTCCTACTGGCCCACGCCATCCAGTTGTGATGTGGAGAATGAAGGCTCCAGAGAAGAAGCCCCTGATTAAAAGGGAGAAGCCAGAAGAAATCTATGCTGCTGTCAGAAAAGGTTCTGCCAAGAAGAGAATCCATCCTGTGCAAGTCATGAGTGAATTCAGAGGCAGAGAAATAGTCTAATATTTTGCCACTATGTTTTCTTATCTTGAATTTCCCATGATTTTTCATCTTTTCCCCTGCTTACTTAATAATTATATATGTCACTGTTTTGCTCTAAATCTGTAAGATAACACTTGCATAAGCGCTTTGAAAATGCTGTTGGATTAGTTAGAAGCACACAGTTGGAAATAATCCTGGTTCTCCTGCAGTGAGGAGGTGAGGTGGCCCCACTGCAGTGGGTCTGGGTGTGACACAGGCATTTCTGCTGCTGGGCCAGGCCCTGAGGGGCCCCTGTGACCAGCTCACACCCGCCCAAACCTGGGTCCAGCCTGCAGCATCCTTGGCCAAGGCCATGCCTTGGAAATGTGAGCTTGAAAATGTTTGATGAAACACACAGAGTGTTGGAACAACGTGGATGTAACAATGCAGTAAAGAAAGCACTGACTGCAGGCCAGCAGCCAGTGGTGACAGCTCTTTAGAAGGCCTTTGGAACAGGAATCTGTGTTCTGCTCCCTGCTCTCTTCTGTGAGCCCCAATAAATCAGTTGTATTTGGCAGTTCAGATAAATCAGACGTTAGCAATAAAAAACTTTCCTATTGCTGCACGAAAGAAGAACTTTGAAATAAATCATTATTCTGAGTGTGAGAAATACACATATCTTGAATCTTAGGAATGGGGTGACTTTTCCAAAGCAACTGTAGGGAGTTAAGTTACTTCTGACAGACTTCCTAAATGCAGGACTCTGCTGGTGAGTGCTGAATGGCTGCACTCAAAGTGTGTCATGAAGGTAAATCCTGCTAGTCCAGACCTCTGCAATGTGCTTAAGAAAAACTAGTTTCTTCTAAATACTTTTGAATCTGAAATCCACTTGGACTAATTTTTTTAGAAGGCTCTAACTTGCCTTTTTGCCATGTCATGGATTCTTCCCAGACTACATTTGTTACTCAAGATATCTTTGCCCGGCCATTCTGTAGATCCTTTATCATGGCCTTCTGCATTTGCCAAGATGAAAAGCTCTGGCTTTTATCCCTCAAAAGCCAGAGGTTCCTGTGTCACTGCCTGCCACCCTGGGATGGCTCCACATTCTGGGCCACTGCTCCAGGTCATTTATTACCATGCTTGCCCAGCAGTGCCTGACCCAGCCCAGTGTGGGCAGCAGGAATAACCCTGAACTGTGCCTTTCCTCTTGGGGCTGATCATTCTTCCACCTTCCCTAACCTTGCAATCAGTTAAATGGAACAAAAGGAGAAGTTTGGAAGAAAATCACCTTTTCCCAGCTCCAGTTCCCTCCAGCATGTTTGCAGCAAGATGTCAGTACTGTCTCCTGGCCTTGCTGCTCCTCCCAGGGCTCCAGAGTCAGCAGGTAAGCTGACACAGCCTTGGGGGCTGCTCTGGGGCTGGGACTGTCCTGAAACCCTCCTGGCTCCAGGTTACACCTTGATCCTGGTCCCCTTGATGTCAAATGTTTGTAACTAATGCCTTGGCACCACATTGTTAATAAAAAAGCATGTACACCCCGAGAAGCTGCTGTCAGTGCTGTGGGATTTTTTCGGTGTGTCTGAAGTTCAAGGCCTGCCAGGTGTGCTCACAGAAGCCTTCCTTCCAGCACACTGTGTGTGCTCCATTAGCTGCTCTACAGGAGAGGTTTTCCAGCACCAGTATCACTAAAGCACATTTTACTGCTTCATTTCATGCTCCTTCCTGCACTGCCAGTCTGTGCTCCTTCCCTGGCCATGCTCAGTAGCCAGTTTGATCTCAACACATCAATTCATTACAGAAAAGCCACCCTCTAAGTGAACAAGGAATTTAAAACCCACTGCAGACTGTTGAGAAGAGCCAAAGAGCAATAATCACATTTAGACTAAATTTATCTTGGGTTAAATTCAATCCCAAGCGAAAAAGTTTATTCCTGGCTAAGGAGGCAAAGGGTAAGAAGTCCTGGAGCTGTAAAAAGCCCAGCTCTTCACCCTTCAGCCAGCCTGGGAAGCAGGGAACCACCACCTCCTTCCCTGCCATGAGGGAGATTTCTGAAGGAGGACCAACTGCTCAGTGTTATTCCAAGCAGCTCCTCATTCTTCCTCTGACCGCTCCGGCTGTTCATCTCTGCACAGACACGCGTAGGATGGCTCTGGGACAGCCCATGCTCCAAAGGACGAGTCTGGACTCTTCAGATTTTCAGTCTTCAATATTGTTTATTATTTCTTATCTACAAAATTTTCTTCCAGCCTGACAGAGGTCTGACCAGCAAGGCAGCCAAGGGCACTCTGTCCTCCCACTGGGCGGTCGTCCATTTTTATACTAAAAACGACGTACATCATATTTACCTTTATTTCCCAATACCTTTCACCCATATTAGCAAGTGCACCTTCACCAAGAACCAATCCCAAAGTGCCAACATCACCACAGAAAATGGATGACAAGAAGAAGAAAGAAGAAGGACAAGACACGCCCTGATTCCTCCATCTTGTCTCCATAACCCCCCTGTACCAAAATCCTAAAATCTATATTTCCACCCTGTAAATATATCATTCTTACACCATTCATCCCCAAGTGACTCTCTTGTCCTCATACAGGTGGCACATCCCGTGCAGGGTCAAAATCCGACCACCAAGCACTTCTGGCAACATTCCAGGATTTCCGAGCCCCCTTAGGGTTGTCTTGGTAACTCTGGACATCCGGAGTGATGTGCTGAGTCCCCACATTCCTCCATCTCCTCATTCCCTGCCAGCCCAGCTTTCAGAGCATAACTTCTCTCCCACCTCCTGCCTGCCCTCACACTGCTGCTCTCAGCCTGGCAGAGCTGCAGCTTTCTCACCTCAGATTATTCCATTAGCCTGCCTTGGCCTCTCCCCATTACCGCATCATGGAGCACAGGGTGATGGATGACTGAAGGCAATTTTATATTAAAAATTTTTACTAGAGCATTAGAAAGTGGGAATCCCATTGCTGAAGCCCATTAGTTTGAGAGGACAGGTCTGCATCATTTCCATGAATCCCAAAGCTGTTGAATTTTATTTTTTTTTTAAATAAACAGCCAATGTGCTTTTTCTCCCAACATAGCCTGGTACCACTAGGGAAGCTCTGTAGCTGCATCTCTACTAAAGAACACAACTAAGCAGCTTGACGTTGGGGCAGGCATGGTGTTTTAAAGGTCTTGCAGTGATTTTTGAAAGGCTTGTGTCCTTTATTCTCTGTGAGCCTGCAGCTGGAGCATTTGAGAACAGTATGTCGATACAGAAAGTTCTTTCACAGAACGAAACCACTCATCTGGTATTGTCCAGTAGAGGCAATTTAGCATATGAGTAGAGTAATTAAATAATAATTAAAGATCAAGCAGATCACTCTCTCTCTCCCCAAGGTCATCAGTGGGCTTGGGTTTTGCACAACAACTTCTTGAAGGGAAGAAATGCATGGGCAGTGTTAGTTACCAAGACATGGATTTGGTGTTGCTGCCCTGAAAAACCACACCTTTCAAATGATAAACCACAACTCACTGGAAACTTTCTTGGCATAAAGAAAAAATGCATCCAAAGCAGAAATGGCAAACAAACCATGAAAATACTTCGAAGCCCCTGATGTCTCTCATCAGCAGGAGGAATGTGCTGCTATGGTCCAAGGAACTGGAAGCTGAGGAACTAATTTTTGACTCCAGCCTAAAGCAATAGTTAAGATCAAAGTTTGCACTGCAAGAGGTGGATCTAACTGTTTTAAGGAGCTTCTTACAGGGTAGGAAATATTCATATTATACGTCCTGATGGTGAAAACGACTATGTTAAAGCAGGCTGGAGACCACAGAGATGCCCTGTACAGGATGATGTTTCCTCTCAACCCTCAGATCTTTTATCAGCCTGGTCATTTCAGAGCCATTGGCTTTTCTGCTGCAGTTTTCAGTTTCCTTCACAGAAGGCAGCAGCTGCCAACACCCCAGAGCTCAGGGTCTGTGGGTGAGGCACTGCTCTTCCCAGGGGCTAAAGGGTTAAAGGAGCTCCCTGCTCCAGCAAGCCTCTGTCCCTGGGCTGCCTCGTACCCAGTTATCCTCACTGGATGGAAACAGGACAGGACATTGCTCCCACACTTTGTGCCATTCTCAACCAGCCAGCGTGGCTGAGAGAATGGGTGAAACTTTCCTGGTGGAATTTTAGCTTCTCTGGTGGAGGAAGAGTCATTTAAAGCAATGATTTCTCCAGGAAAGCAGAATCTCTCTGGAGTAAAGGCTTTCCAAAAAGGACAAAAGAGCAAAAGGCTCTTTTCTGCCTTCCACTCCCTCTGCAAACCCAGTCAAGTCCTCTCAGACATCACTGAGGGTTGGGGCTTTGCAGCTTGCTGGGGGTGTGATCCTTGGAACCTCAAATGAAAATAAGCAAATAAAACAACCAGTGCTGTCGGGAAGGTTTGCATTGGTTTCTCTAAGAGAACATCAGGGTGCATATTGCACAATTTATATTTAGCTCATCTGCACTTAGGAGCAAGAAAAGAAGATTAGAGCTCTGCTACTTCATGTCTTGGGTACAAACTCAGAGGGGAAACATAGGTTAGATATGGGAAAGGAATTCTTTCCTGTGAGAGTGGGTGGTGAGGCCCTGGCACAGGGTGTGCCCAGGGAGATTGTGATGCCCCTTGATCCCTGGAAGTGTCCAAGGCCAGGCTGGGACAGTGTTGGACAGGATCAAGGTCCACTCCAACCCCTCAGCATCCTGTGATTCTGTGTGGGTTATACAGGTGCCACAGACTTCATACAGAAACAGCAAACACAGGCAGACCCCAAGCACACACTGCAAACCACCTGCCCTTAATGTGCAAATCTCAGTGCTTGGGGGATCTTTGTCCTTGGCTGACATAAAATAATCCTCTCTTATTTATCTATTGATATAATTACATAATTTACCTGTTATGTATTTTATATCTATTACAACACACATTAGTAATGTATGTGTTATAATAGTCACAAAATACAAACAACATAAATCAATGCAATTATTTTAATAGAATTAAATATACAGATATATTTATAGTTAAATGTATTTCTATAATTACATAATATTTAGTTACTGATAAACTGAAGTTGTTAGAATTCAGAGCAAGTACCCAGAAGCACATGGATGTTTCACTTTATAAAGGTGCAGCATCTCAGACACTCAGCCTCAATTTTCTGCTGTTGAATTACTCTGACAGGGAAAAAATGGCTGCATCTTATGGCAAAAGTGTAGACACTGCATCTAGTCACTCAGAAAGCAAACTGGAACTTAAGCCCCCAGCAGTTAAAAATAAGCACAGAACAATTATGCCTGCAAACCTTTGAAGAGTTTGAATAGGATATTCATACCTATTGTAGTATAAAAAGAAAGGGGAATGAGGTAACTTTTTGGCTCAGGATGAGCTCTATTATCACTGAAATAATTTCTGTCTAGCTGCAAGCATTACACAAGCCAATATAATTTCAAGACAAGTACTTGTTATGTTAACAAGAATGACTAAGATGCTTCCCCAGCATCCTGTCCTTCACCTTCTCTTCCTTATTTCCCCCCCTGGAAGAAACTCTTGTTCTCAGGGCTCTGGAATGAATGAAGCATATATAAATGTACATTCCAGCAACTGTATCCATCCTGGAGATTCCATCTCAAGCAGTTACTGTGAATTAAACTCACTCATAATCTTAGATAAAAATAAACAGAGTATAGACAACCCTGTCACTGGAATGAAATTCAAGACTCAAACCTGCCAAACTATTCCGTGTTCACTCCTCTTGTCCCAGGCTGTCTCTATTTGATTTTGCTTTTTTAGCTTGCATGTAAGACACTGCCTGCAATAAATATTCCCAGATTTACATCTCACAATGAAATGGGTTCAGTCTGTGATTAAAACAGAAGTTTGGTTTTTTTGAAATCCAGTCACCAGCCAAACTGTTATAATTCCCTGGAGCTGGGTATCTAATGGAGGCACAACTTCAAGGTGCCAGTCTCCTCTGCCCCTGTTCCAGTATCTCTAACAATTCCAGCTGCTGTGGCACTGGGCACAGCTCCACCTTCCCACTGCTCACAGCAGCCCCTTGGGCCTTCCCAGCTGTGCCCACTCCCTCTTTGGCACCCTCACCCGGGGTGTGGAGCCCGTGGGCTGGCAGAGCCCTGTGTGGGTGCCAGTGGCCATCCTGCTCTCCTTTGTGCTGCAGAGAAAGTGAGCCCCTTTCTGAGCAAGGGGGAAGGGGGAGAAATTGAAAAGTGACATTTACAAACCATGGAAAACTTCTGGTTTGTAATTCCACTGTTAAGGCAGCGTTTCCCAAGGGGGTGTTTTGCGGAGAGAGCTGAAAACTCCACAGCTTTGTGAAAGTTTTAAAGCCGGAATGTTTACTATTGCAGGGCTGGATGCATGCGGAGATTGCTCTCCTTAAAAGGCATGTGTACCTCTGAGAACTTCAGGTCCCTTTTTATCCCCCTCTCAGATACATATGCTTACAGTTTCACAATGGGTTCATACATATTCATTTCTATGGATTTTGCATGTGACATTTGCCCTAGTTCTTTTT